GGCTCCTGTGGCTCTCTAGGAGCCCGCACCTCCTCCCCGGGTGTCTCTCCGCACCTAGATCGGCCATGACTCCACTCACCCAGCTTCCCTCCTGCTGCCTGCCCAGTTCCATGGCAAAAAAAAAAAACCAGGAACAGCCTCAGCACTCCGGAGGCTGGGCTAGTGGCCCACCCCCGCCCCAGAGATAAGCAGGGAAATTCAGGGCCAGTGGTGAGGTGTGCACGTGTGTGGGTTGGGGTGGGGGAGCTGAGTGCGGGTGGGTGAGGCTGGACCCCCAACCCTGCGTGGGCCAGGCTCGCCAAGTCCTTGTCACGAGGAGATCCTGGAGGGTCAAGCACTCTCCAGGCTGAGGTACAAACAGCCCAGAGAAGGGGCAGCCAATGGAGAGACCAGGGCTCCAGACACTTCTCTCTCAGACCCACACAAATGCACACTCCCACCCTCACCAGAAATGGTCCCTAACTCTGCTGAAAAGGTCTCCAGACAAGCTCCTCCATTCTGTTCTCTTCAAGACAATCCCAGGGTTCTTGGGGGCTCCAAGAATCCCCTTCTGCTCTCAAGGGAGAGAGGGCAGAATCCATTCTTTCTTTGGGGGTTCCAGCATGTACACACCAGCTAGAGCTCCGTGAGCTCCCTGCACTGTCTGCAGAACCGCAGCCCCACCCAGCTCAGATGCCGTCTCCAGGACAGCTGCCCAGAGCCACGCCCAGCCCCTGCGCACACCCACACACATGCACGTGGACACACAGATCATAATCACATAGGCCTGGGGTCAAGCTGGGGCTGCCTACCCTGTTCTCTTCCTCTTCCCTGTCACCCATACTCCCAGTTGACCTGGCCTGAGATCCCACCTATTTGTCCTTTTATTTTTTTTTTTTAAAGTATGTGTGCTTTCCAGAGACAGGGAGAGAGGCAGTGAGAGGGAAAGTGAGAAATCACCCCCTGCATGCACATGTGCGTGTGCGCGCGTACATACACACACACACACACACACACACACCTGGCATGATTTTCAAGTTTACAGGCCCAGGACTCAAACCGTGGTCGGCCATGTGGTAGTCCAGCACCTTAACCACCATGCCACCTGCTGGGCCCCCCTCCCTCCTATGCTTTTCTTTTCTTTTCTTTTTTGGGGGGGAGAGGTTTTTGCTATAGGGCGCGTGTGCTCGTCAGACAGACAGAGAGACAGAGAGATAGAAAGTGAGAAATTACCCCCCAGGGGGGATGGTCACGCCATAATCCCTTCTCCTCCATTCTCCTCTCGGGATCTTGGGCACACACACACACACACGCGCCCAGTGTGAGTTTAAGCCACTGGGTCCGGGACTTGAACCGCGGTCAACTATGTGGGAGTCCAGTGACATAGCCATTACGCTAACTGCTGGTCCCCCTCCTATGCTTTTCTAAAGAACAAGGCTCAGAGTCAGAAAGACAGAAGACTAGGTTCAGGGCCAGCCCTGCCAGGATTTGTTGTGTGACCTTGGGCAATTCCATTCTACTCTCTGGGCCTCAGGCTTCTGGTTGTGACTACCTACTTCTCCAACAGAGAGGTGCAAGAGGTCACCGTCTATGTGGGACATTTTCCTAGAGCCTCATAGCACTCAGTGAATAATGTGGAACTTCATTTACACATTAAAACAAATGCTATGTTGTAGAATACAAAGTTAGCAAGAACTAAAAATAAAGCCACCGGGGTGCTGGATTCCCGCATGGCTGACTGGGGTTTGAATCCTGGACGTAGTGGCTTGCTTTCCCACTTTCTCTTTCCTCTTTCTCTCTGTCTCTCTGGTCCAGTTAAAAAGTAATAATAATAGAAGGTTGGCAGATGGCGTGGTGGTTTAGGTGCTGAACTCGCACATGGCCAACCACGGTTTAAGTTTCAGACCTGGCAGCTTGCTCTCTCACTTTCTCTCTCTCTCCCCTTCTCTTATCAAATTAAATAATAACAAATAAAATTAAATATTTTAAAAGTAATAATAATAAATAAAATAATTCTTTAAAAATAAAATAAATAAAGCCGCAGCAATTTCAGACAAAGTTCTCTGGAGCACCAGGCCCATGAGGCACAAGTCAATGTGGTGCATTTGGAGGTGGGGAAGCTGAGCAGCCCAGGCCCTGTCTCGGCCCTCCCGCTCTGCCAGCTGGCCTGCCCATGGCCTGGCAGGGACCCTGGCAGCCATCACCAGCCTCTCCATCTCCTGCTCCCGGAGCCGCTCCTGGCGCTGCCTCCGGTGGTACTCCAGGAGGTCATCCTCATTGTCGCTGATCTCCGTGATGCTGTTTTTCCGCTCCCGTGTGATGGGCACCCGCAAGTCCCCACTGGAGAGCTTCCTTTGGGCATGGGGACTCTGGCGGGGTGAAGCAGCAGTGAGGGAGCCCAGACTGTAGGCTGGGCTTAGCCTGCCGCTGAAGCTGCCCTTGCGGGGTGCCAGGGACTCCCCCAGTGTGGGCGAGGGGCTCCGTGTCCTCCGGCCTCCTCGAGCCCCTAGCGTCAGGGAGAAGTCCTCTGGGGAAGTGCCGTGGGCTGCCCAGCGCCGGGGCCGTGGACTCTCAGTCACTTCTCTGGTTAGCTTAGGATCTGGGGTGGTCCGGGCTGGCAGCGGGGAGAGAGCACGTCGGGACAGCGACGGGCTCAGGGGTGGCAGCTCTCGCATACTGTCCAGGCCCCGCCGGCCCAAGCGTGGACTCTCAGGGGGCTGCAGGGTGCGGGTGGCTGACCCATCTGAAAAGGTTCGGCCCACCAGTTGGCGTGAGGGGCTGGTTGTCAACACCCGCTCAGCACCTGGAGGCTCCCGGAAAGGGCTGGGAGGGCGGTCCTGGAGTGTGCCCACCTTGCTGCGGGGAGCAGGGACAGGAGGTTGGAATTTGGGGCTGCTGGGAATGCTGGTGGGTTGGCTGCGGGCTCCAGGCCCTGGGTATTCACTCAGGCTGATGGCCACCACAGGCAGCTGCCCGCCCAGCCGGGGGCTCTCAGTGGCCCTGCGGGCCTCTGCCAACACAGTGGCCGCAGGGCTGTCAGTTAGCAGACCCCGGAGGCCAGGGCTGGGGGGCCTCTCATGACCCCCTTTCCTGCCCAGCCGGGGGCTCTCAGAGGAGCGGGCACAGCTCTGGCGGGACTGTGGGGGCTGCAGGGCCAGATGGTAGCTGGAGGAACGAGCAGGCACCAGCGGGGGCATGGAAGGTCCTGGTTCCTGCCCGCTGGGAGAGTGGCTGGCACAGCTTCCGCTGCTGGCTGGCGAGGAGAGAGGAGAGAAGGCGGGAGAGGTGTTCTCATAGCTGGAGCCCACAGACATGGCACCAGGACTGGTTGGGGGAGACAGCAGGTAGCGCCCGCCATTGGCCATCGGCGACAGTGGGGAGGTGGCAGCAGGTTTCTTCCCAGCGACCCCAGGCTCCTCCAGCACCAGCGAGTCCATGATTTCCTGCAGGTCCTTCTCGATGGAGCTCACCAGGGAACTGTGGCTGGCGCAGGCCGAGGGGCCGCTAGCAGGCTGGGGGGCGTGGTTCCCATTCATCAGGCTTTCTGATTCTGCAGAAGAGGAATACAAAGAGGGCTCAGGGCCTGGGTCTCTACAACAGGTCTCTCCAATGTTGGGGGCTGCAGATACATAAGAGCTGGGGCCTACCCCACACCTACTAGCACAGTGAGGCTGCAAAGGCTCTGGAGAAGCCTCTGCCACTGACCTGCTGTGTAGCCTTAACCAGGTGACTTGCCCTCAGTCTCCCCTTCGGGAGAGGGAGAGGATGGGCAGGGCCCTCCTGGCTCTAACATTTAATGACCCGGCACAGAGTTAGCAACAATGCCAGGCGCTTTTAGGCCTACTTGTTGCTGACACGCCCCAAGACTAAACTCCTCCCTACCTTGGTTTCTTCAAAGCCTTCTCCCTCTCCTTCAGGAAGAGCAGGTGGACATTCATTCAGCAAAGGAGATGGGGCCGTCTGTGGAGCTAGCCAGAAGTTCCAGGGGCTCCTCGTCTAATAGGGTACCAGGGCCTCCCAGTACAGCGGCCAGAAGCCCAGGGGAAAAACACAAATCCTCTAGGGCTGGGCGAGGGGTGTGTGCTGACCATTGTGTCCAATCAGAGCCAGGGGAGGGAGCTGGTGCTAATGGCTGGTTCCTGGAACCCGAGCTGGCCAGCAGCTAGGTGCAGCTCAGTGCCTCCAATTATCCCATGAAGCCTCGCCAGCAGCCTGCCTTGCCCTGCACCAGCAAGCAGGAGTCCCTGGAACCGCTGTCCCAAACGGTAGGGGAGCAGCAAACAGCTCAGGGAGTAGCGTGGCCAGGCTGGGGAGGTGGCAGGGCAAAATCAACTAGGAGCCCCCAGGGGACTGGGAAAAACTGACATGGGGGACAGGAGAAGGACTAGCTTTTGCAAGACTGAATTTGGGCACAAGATGGCAAGGACTGTGTGGCACACAGAGTGCCACGGATACATGGTCCCAGTAACCAACGCCTTTCCCCAGGGCTCCAAACTACACTCAGACGCTGACACCGCCCACCAGTGCACTGGCTGTATGCGCCCACCTGTCTTGGTACCGCACGGGCACCTGTTGCCCCACAGCCAGCCAGATGCCCACATGTAGCCTGGTCTGGGCCCCATCCCAGAGGCAGCTGGGCTGAGCTGGTTCCCCGGAACAATCACCAGTTCTCCTCTGGGATCAATAATTCACACACGGACTGCAGCTGCCCCACTGAGTCATCAGTAGCACAGCAGGGCCAAAGGACCCTGGCACCAGCGGACTCACCAGAGCTCACTGCTTCCTTCTGCCCTCAGGCCACCCTCAAGTGTGAGGCTCCCTGAAGTGACACAAGAGGGCTAGGGCCCCAGGCACTGAGTGGCATCTTCCAGGGCAGTGGGGTACAGGCTGGCAGAGCCCCAATCCTATAGGCACGTGACCACCGTTTCAGCCACGCGGCACCACCAGGAACCTCGCCCATGGCCCTGCAGCCTAGCATTACCAGCAGCCCTTACAGGTGGCCGCCAACCTAGACCATGGCTACTATCCTGCCCTAACACCCCGCATGTGCTGGAGTGGCAAGGAGGGCCTGTCCGAGTGGTCTGCCAAGCCGGGCCCCTCCCCAGCTGGGTACCCACCAGGCCCTGGGCTGTAGGGGGGCCCAGTGGCCCGGCCCCCTGCTGGAATCATGCTCTTCATCCACTTGGCTTCGGCCGGGTGGTTGAAGCGGAGGAAGGTGGACTGGCCCAGGCACAACATGCAGCCTGCAGAGAGAGCAAACACGGGGGTGGGGGAGGGCTGCACCACCCTCGTCCCTCAGCCCAGCACCCTGCCTGTGCTGGACATGCCACCTCCAGGGCTCCATGGCACAGAGCACGGTGGACAGAGTACCGGTGGGTGAGTCTTAAGATCCGAGTCCTATTCCGACCGCCTCCTCTCACTAGTTGACCTCACCTCCAAGCCTAGGTCTCTCATCAGAGAAGTGGGCACAATACACAGCCCTCACAGGGTTCGTAAGTGCAGGGCCCATGCAGTCATTCCCAGGGATCAAGGGTTCTGGGACTCCTCAGATACAAAAATCTGCGGCTGCTCGTGTCCCTTACGTAAAATGGCATGACGTCTGCACATGACCTGCGCACACCCTCCCGTGTGCTTTCTATTTATTTTCTCAGGTTTCTGCCATAGGGTTCCTGTGCTCACCAGTGGGAGGCAGAGAGACAGAAAGGGAGAAATTACCCCCCCAGGAGGGATAGCCATGCAGCAATTCCTTCTTATCCATTCTCTTCTCAGGATTTTGGGCATGCATGCACAGGCGCCCAGTGTGACTTTCTAGCCACCAGGTCTGGTACTTGAACCTCAGTTGGCTATGTGGGAATCTAGTGCTTCGACCACCATGCTACCTGCTGGCCCTCTCTCATATTCTTTAAGTCACCTCTAGATTACTCACAATATCTAATGCAATACAAATGCTATACAAATAGCTGTCATACTACTATGTTGGTTTTTAAAATGTGTATCTTTTTTATTGTTGTATTGTTACTTTTTATTCTTTTTTCCTCCAATATTTTCTTTTTTAAAAGAATTACTTATTTAGGGAACCAGCAGTTAGCATAATGGCTGTCACTGGACTCCCACGTAGTCGACCGTGGTTTGCGTCCCGGACCCGGTGGCTTAAAACTCACGCCGGGCGCAGGTGCATGCGTGCCCAAGATCCCGAGAGGAGAATGGAGGAGAAGGGATTGCGGCGTGACCATCCCCTCTGGGAGGTGATTTCTCGCTTTCTGTCTCTATGTCTCTCTCTGTCTGTCTGGCGAGCACACACGCCCTATAGTGAAAACCTCTCCAAAAAAAAAAAAAAGAAGACTTACTTATTTAATTTTATTTATTCAGTCATTTACATTTGCCCAGAGACAGACACACATACAGAGAAAAAGAAGGTGAGAAAGCAAGCCACCAGGTCTGAGACTCGAACCAGGGTCAGCCATGTGGGAGTGTCCAGAGCTTTAACCACTACACCACGTGCTCACCCTCCCCCAATATTTTCAATCCAGGTTGGTAAAATCCACAGATGTGAAACTCATAGATGTAGATGGCTGACTGTACATTGCAAGTAGAGAAAGTTCTTTCTTTCCCTTTTTTTTTTTTAACGTTTTTTTGTTTTAGGGCACATGAATAGTTTTTTTGCTATAGGGCACATGCACTCACCAGAGAGACAAAAAGTGAGAAGTCACCCCCCAAAGGGGATAGTGACACTGCAATCCCTTCTCCTCCATCTCCTCTCAGGATTTTGGGCACACATGCACATGCTCCTGGAGTGAGTTTCAAGCTGCCAGGTATGGGACTTGAACCATGATCAGCCATGTGGGCAGTCCAGTACCTTAACCACTACACCATCTGTTGGCCCGCTTCCTTTTTTTTTAATTACCAGAGGCCAGGTATACTTACCAAAGAAAGAAAGGGAGGGGAAAGCACCCCCCAGTCATAATCACACCAATCACTTCTCTTCCATTCCTCTGTCAGGATTTAGGACATCAACGCACATGTGTCCAGCATGTTTTTCATGCTGTTGGGACTGGGACTCAAACCGTGGTCAGCCCTGTGGGCTCTAGCTCCCTAACCACTAGGCCTTGGGGCTTACCCTGGAGAAAGTTCCTCAGAGAACACAGATGCTCATGTCCCCCCCCAAGCTCAGCCTGCAGCCAGGATCCATCTATTTGCCACTTGGGTAGAAAGATCGGTCTGAGAAGCAGCAACTTCCAGGGTCCCCAAAATATCTTTGAGACAGAGCAGGTGGAAAGCATGAACCAGCCAGATGACCTCACGGGACCCAGAATTTGCCCTGGCTCCTTATTGCTGTGCAGCCCTAGGAGAACAGTTGCCCTCTTGGAGAGATTAGGAAGCCACTACTACCCTCTTTGTGATTAGGAAGCCACTACTACCCTCTTTGTTTCTGACACCATCTGGCTGCTCCCTGGTCTCACCTGGAATCCGGCCAGGCCTAGGCCACTGGGCCTAGCCTCGGCCAAGCACATTCCCAGGCAGCAGACACAAGCCCAGTCCTGCCTGGGAAGTGTGAGTGCGTGGAGGGGGAGGGTGTGTGGGAGCCAGAAAATGTAGCCAGGGGCACCAGGAGTGTGCATGGCAGCAGGTGTGCCCACAGGAGCCCAACCCTGGCTGGCAGAACTCCACCTCCTGGTCACGCCAGGTGCTCCAGGGCTCCTGCAGGAGGGTCGATGCTGGGAGAAGCCAGAGCCCTAGTACTCTCCACTACCACTTCTTCCGACGTGTCCACACCCCCGGTTCTGGCCTCAGCCTCCTGTCTACCCAATCTGGTGCCATTTGGCGCCCCAAGCCTCATGCCAGTCTGAGCTAAGACTGGCAGGGAAGTCTACATTCCTGGACACTGAGACAGTTCAGCTGAAGCAGGCCACAAAGGCAAGGGGCATCCCAGGCCACGTGGCTACCTTGGCAGGCCCCATATTGAGCGATTCAAGAGCATGTTCTGGGGACTTTCCCTGGGCACAGCCATAAGGTGGGGGAACATGCAGTCCGAGAAGCCCACAGCAAATACCCATAGTAGACAAAGCCACCCACTGCCTTGGCACACTCACAGGCCCTCCCAGGCAGGCAGGCACCAACAGTCCTACGGCTGAATGGGTGGCTGGGAGAGGGCAGCCTTCCCTGCCATCCACCTATCAGAGCAACCGATCCCAGAGTAATCATAACCGGAATAAGTAACAGCCAGCCACACAGTCCACCTGATTACAACACAGCTGTTTTAGAAAGAGCCCTGCCAGGCCCCTCCTCTGCTCAGCATTTTAACAAGCTAATTAATGATTAGTTGATAGGGTCTAGACAGACCCACTTAACCCTAGGTGGGTGGGGAGGGTCGTGGGTGGTGGGGATCAGGGACCTGACCGCACTGCCCAGTTGGATTCCAGCCCAGCCGGGCCTAGCCCACCCAAGGAGACTGTGGGCATCTAGGACCCTCCACCCTGGCCCCTATCACTGTGGGCTCCCTGTCCCTCCTGGGCCCCCTCCCCCATACAGGGGGTGTGGCCATGCTGCCTCCAGCTATAAATAGTGATGCCAGGCAGCAGAGCTGGATCCATATTAATAGAGCGGGCAGGAGGGCAGCAGGGCTGAGGGCAGCCCAGCTCCTGCCCAAATTAACTTGCTATTTGCACTCTGGGGCCCAGGCATCCCCAGCTCTGGCCCCTGTTGCCCCCAGCAGCCTGGCCAGCCTGTTTCTGGGAAGAAGCCCCCTCTCTGCCCACCTTCTGTCCCTACCCCAAAAGGTGGGTGCTCTCCTGAAGCCCAGGAACCCCTGCCCACCCAGGCAAAGGCGGGGTCTCCTCAGGGTCCAGTGGTGTGCAGGTGGGTGGAGAAGCTGCACATCTGGAGGGAAAGAGGGAGATAGAGAGAGGGGATGAATGTGCACCTGTCTCTGAGATGCAGAGGGGTGCCTCCAGACACACGGACACTCGGAGAGACCTACACACAGGTACACATGCTCATAGAGCAGCACAGAGCTGACCGGCCACCAGGCCCTGGCCCTTCCCATCAGAGACCCCTTGGCCATTACACAGCCTCCCTCATCCTAACCTGGACTCCTTGGCCCCATTCAGAGGCGTATCCCGAGGAGGGGGCTGCAGAGCTGGGAGAGAAGAGGTCTGCCCTGCTAGGAAGCACCCCCAAGCCTAGACCCGCCTCGGACACGTTCAGGGCACACATGGATGATCAGGTCTCACAGCCTCAAGCTCCCAAAAGGAGCCACGGCCCCCATCCCCTCCTGGCGCCCACCCTCCTTGAATCGCCCCTCCCAGCCCGAGCTTCTCCACGCCCGGGTGCCTAGGGACTCGGCTGGCCGGCGGCTGGGAACTCACCGCCGAACCGGACCTCTGGACCGCTCTCCCGGCTAGCTCCGGCCTCCAGGTCCCCGGCCCGCCCGGGGCCTCTGAGGGGGCGGGCCGGCCCGGGGAGGGGCGGGCCGGCCACCAGCGGCGGGGGAAGGGAGCCAGGGAGGGAGGGACAAAGGAGAGGAGGAGGGGAAGAGGAAGTGATGGAGGAGAAGAGCGGGGAGCAGGATGGAGAGGCGGGGGGGCAGGATGCGGCCAGGGAGCCGGCTCGGGATCCCTCGCCAGGGGCAGGAGGAAAGTGGGGCAGGGAGGGAAGGAGCCGGGGAGGTGACTTGAGGGACTGAGAGGGCAGAGGGAAATTCAGAGGCCGGAGGCGGAAGAGCCTGCAGGCAAGAGTGAGCCCAACTGCCTGGCCTCCCTCGGAGCCCTCTGTGGTAGGAGGTCCGTGGGGGCGTCCCCTCTCCTAGCTGGCTGTGTCACCTTGGGCCGGTCACACCTCTGGCCTCAGAGTCCTTATCTACAGAATAATGAGGTCCCTTTCTGACATCCCATGGCTCCATCTTTGAGAGAGAGAAGAGCAGGGCTCCACGGGTCCAGCCAGGTCCCTAGGTCCAGCTCTGGCGCTCAGACTGCCCCTGAGACATGGTCACCCTGGGTTGGGAGTTTAGGCCAAGGCAGTGCTCTGTGCAATGCAGGAGGCTCTGAACCCAGCTCCTGCCTCCATCATTGAAACCGCCTCTTCGCACCTCAGCGGTGACCCCCGCTGGACCCAGCCAGCACACTTCCCGAGTCGGGAAGCCAGCCCGCCTCCCCCAGCCACGGCCTGCAGGGGGCGCTCCAGCAAGGAGCCCTCCTGTCTAGAAAGGTGTCCCTCCTATCTGGGAAGCACAGTGCCACTGGTCTCT